ATGGGTCGGGTCGGGTTAAAATTGGTTAATTTAAGTAAATCGGGTTATTTTTGTTGATTTGGGGGTTTCCATCCAATTGAGGGGTAAATGTGATGAGTTTGTAGACGGCAGGGGCAAAAATAACTTCGTTTTAACGGTAAGGGTATAGTCAAACAATAAAACAAAGTTGAGGGGTATTTTTGACCCTTTTCCCTTTTATTATTATTGCCTTTTTAATTTATTTTTCAAATTGATATGAAATTTATGAAAGTATCCATTTTGATGGTAAGGTCGTGCTATATTACTTTTTTTTTTTTATTACTTTTGATGTTTTTTAAAAATAAATAAAATAATTTATAATTTATTTTATTAGTATAAGTCTATAATTTTCTACTTTGTCTTTCTATTTCTCATTATTGCATAATCAACACTTAATTATATTTAGTATTTGTAAATGATATTTTTGAAATTTGCGGTTTTTGAATTATACATACATATAATATTTAAAATTATTTTTATTTTTATGGTTTCAAACAATTCATATGAAAGTTAGAATTTGATTTTTTAAAAAGAAAATAATGGCTTTATTAATAGTTCACTATTAATATTTCGAAAACTAAAAACATAGTTGATCATAGCTATTAGAATAATATTATAACAAATAAAATTGCATACTATAGCATTTAATTAATGTAATTATATAAATAGTTATAATATATTACCATAACTATTTAAAAAATATATTAACATGTGAATTTTAAATTAAAAAATAAATTTTAATTTAAAATTATGACATTAAAAAATATCCGCGCAACGCGCGGGTACGAATACTAGTATTAATAATAATAAAATATATATGCTATGAAATTTTATAGGGATACAAAAAGATTTTTTTATTTATTTTTTAATTGATAAATTTATTTCATAAATGTTATTTCTTATAAAAATTAAATATATTATATTACTACTTACTTTCTTATTTTTAAATAAGTGTCGTTCTTAAGAATTGAGTCTATTTTTTTTGTTCAAATATAATTTCTATTATAGCGATAAATATTTTTCAAAATTAGGAAAAAACTTAATTAATTGATGAGTTGCTAATTTATATTAATTTTATTTTTTAGAATCACTAATTTTAACAAATAAGCTAGTCTTGCAAAATTATTATTTTTAATTTAATAAACTATATTTATTTAATAAAGAAGAGTTTATAATTTAAATAAATTTAATTTGAACAAAACTTGGCAATCCAAGTCTTTTAATTCGGTCAATCCACACGTGCCACATAAGAAGCACATGGATTGTGCTTCTTCATATTCGATCTCAACCATCCGATTTAATCCAAAGGCTTTAATTAATTTATATTTTTAAATATATATATATATAATTATTAATTTTTTTTAAAAAAAACCCCTTTATTTTTTTAACCGTCTGATCAAACGATCGAACGGACGAGATCAAACCTAAAACCTTTAGACCCCTACTCTACCACCACCGCCCTATACTCTGTATTTCTTCCAAAGATCACGTTCTTCTTCCCCATCACGCCTCTTCCTCTTCCCCAAAGAATGACGCTCCAAGCTCCTCTCCCATGGCCTCCATCACCTCCCACACGTGATCCCCCATCCCCCTTTGTCAGAGAAATGACTCTGGGCCACCGGAAAAACGCTCCCTCAATCACTCATCCTCTCAAATCGACCTGAAAAGGTCGATTCTTGAAAGATTTCCTTCCCTCTTCATTATAATTTTTCTATTCTTCCTCATACTTGGCTTCCCAAGAATTTAAAATTTGAATTCTTGAAGCCAAGTGGAAGTTTGAATTTGGCAATAAAAACAGACCTTTGGTTCTCAATCCAGGAAGGTCCAGAAATGAGTGAGAAAATCGAAGAATCGATCAAAATAAGAAAAATCGCAGCCACTTCAAGTTTTTGTTAGAGTTCGAAATTTCTTTTCACTTCTTGTCCTTCTGTTCTCTGTTTTGAATTTGAGTTGACGTCGAGTTCGAAGTTGAAATCTCTTAACGTCGAACCCCTTGTTTGTTGCTTCATACATCAGTAGTCATCATTATCTTTTCTATATTTTGACTTTCAGTTTCGGAAACTTTGTGGCTGTTTGAATATCCTTACTTTATTCAATCTTGTATTTCTAAACGGTTCCCAGAATTACCTCATTTAGCTTTGATTAAAATCAACCTTTAAATAATTTGTCGAAGTTGTGATATTTGTATCTGGTTAGAGTTGTGAATTGTGAATTCAAAAATGACTAGTGGCCTGTCTTTTATTCCGTTAACAATCAGTTAAATTTCAGATGCTTCCTTTTAAGTTATGTGGTTTCTTTATATGGACGGAATGCTGGCTCAAGACTGTTCACAGCCGATATTAAATTCGGATACTCTCTCGCATAGTCTGTTTCGCATAACCTGAAGCATATTCATCTTCATCTTCATTTTTCTATATTAATCATATCTCGTTGTCTTGTCGGTTCTACTTCGTCATCATGATTTCCCCTAAAAAATATTCACGTGTGGACTGTGATCACATACTGCCTCTATTAGATGTTAAATTTTGTTATGCCAAAATATGTAAGTCTCTTGATTAAAGTTAGTTCTGTTAACCGCCTTTAGGCCTCTTGTCTAGATACACATTTAATTCAAAGTTGTTTCTGCTGCTTGGCATAGAAAGTTTATTTTTTTTACATTTAGCTAAATATGAATAACTCGGTTTGAATAGATGTCGGTGTTTTCCTCCCTTGGAATGATTCTTAAATGATAATAATGTTATACGGAGTGAAATTCCTATATAGCTACAACAGTAGCCTGGTCTCATATTGCTTCTTTATTTAACCTAAATTCAATATCGATTTGGTTAGTGAATCTAATATTGCTTTAAGTTAATATGGCTGGCTCCTTAAATGGTTGTTTCTTTATGTTCGTGGTCCTTTGAAACTCCTTTTTTGTATCTGTCAAGTTTTAGCTTCTATATTTACTCTTTTTTTTTGTTCAATCTCGTCTCTATTGATGCCTAGTTTGAATACTTCTTTCTGGTTGGTAATTAAAGAGTAATGCTACATGATTCAATCTAGAACAACTTGACATGAATATGTTTGGATTCAAAACTGGTACCCCTTCGTTCCACCCCCCTCCCTGTTTGAAGATCTGGAAAATATAAGAGTATGGATAAATGTTTGGTCATCACATAGTTAACTAAAACGTAATCCTTCATCTAAGATATGTGAAAATTCTGGTTTATACATATCCTCCATTTGGGGGGCTGATTTTATGATTCGACAAGAACTAATCCAAAGAGTTCTCAAGTGACTAGTTTTAATCTAGTAGTGTTGCGGATTGATTTTTTGTTTAGTGATCAGTTAAAGGTGATCTCGCTTCAGTCCTTATTTTATGACTTTATAGTTAAGGTAGTACTTTACAATCCAAAATAATTTAATTGATTAGCTTTCCAGTGGCTCTTCCTTTAATTGTATACCAAGATCATAAAATAATATGAGTGTTCACCTCCTGCCCCGACTCTTCTTGTGATGTTTCTCTCTAGATTGATTAAAGTTTTTGGTATACTAATTACTTAAATATCGTCAAGGAATTGCAAGAATAGTATTATGTTGTTGTAGTTGTTGTTTTTGAGTATATTTACAGTATGCCTACGACTACATGATTCTTATTTTACATCTCTTTGATGAACCAAAAATTCAGTCGCTAATTCTATTTCTTCTTTGTTTGTCACATGTACACTCGAGAGCGCATTTGGAGTTAGTATATGACTCCATCTCTGTCCAATTCAGAGAAGCGACCAATAGCCTACATTATTTGCTCGTGTCTAGCAGCCCTCATCGCATCAATAGTGTCAACGCTTCCTTTTCAGTTCAAAGTTTTTTTACATTATATATATATGCGCGGTTACTTCGGTTAACATTTTACATATTAGTATTTAACATTTATATTTTTGATTTCTCCTATTTGTGTTTGGGTTTGTACAAACCATCTAGAATGATAGTAAGACGCAGTCATTCATCTCACATTCCTCTAATTATTGGGTTTTAGTATGACCATTTGGCTTATCACGATGCTTTCCAATGAAGTTTTCATCTATTATATCTTTTGGTTGTGAAATCTTAACGTTTCAGAAAAGTGAACTTGGAAACGACTTCCTTTTATCTCTTTAAAAGGAGAATGTATCCATTTAAGATTTGATTCAATAAGAGTTAATAACGATTTTTTTAGCAACTTAATGAATGCAGATTTTTGAGTTCCAAAAGTGCAGATTTTAGCTTGAAAATTCCAGATTTTGATAGGTAAAAAGAGCAGTTTTTTTTTTCAGCGAGCAGATTTGTAGTACAAATATGTATTTTTGGAACAAAAGCGTTTTTGTTATGAGAGTCTTTATGACACAACGCTTTGGGATCAAAATGATGTATTTTAGTTCTAAAAGGGTGTAGATTTTTAAAGTTAAAAACATCATGTTTTAAGGTCTTCAAAGTATAGTAATTCATGTATCAAAAATCAAAACCTTGAAGAAAAGAACACAAATTTTCTTAGAACTTATAGATAGGATTGTTTTGGGTAAAATGTTGACTCATTTAGAGTAAAAACACAACTCTTTGGAGGCCTTTAAATAGGTAGATTTAAGAGATTAAAAATGCAGTTTTTTTTTTCCAAATGAAATATAAATACCCTTTTTTAAGACAAACAAGTGTTATTTATATATGCTGAAAATTTGTCCTCCTTATTCACCTTTTTGAAATACTTAGGCGTCACTTTTAAAACATTTGGAGGTAAGGACCGAACGACCATGAGTTGGGATGGGTAACCAATAGCTAGGCCTATTTTTTATTCTTTACATCAACTTTTATGAAAATATATTTGTTATTATCACTTTTCAAATCAATATTGTTAAAACATTTTTTCTTTGTTTCCTTTTCTTTTTCATCATTTATTCCCAAAAGTACATTGATTTATGTCGACTTGCAAACTGACTGACTCACGATACAACCTTCGATCAAAAAGAAAGATGACTGATAAAGACGACTTCAACGCTGCTGCAAACATAATGATACCTATTGAGAACTCCGAAGGTTCTCGAAACATGGTAGACATCCAAAATGAAGAGAAAATGGCTCACATGGAGCATGAACTAGAGATCTTGAGGGAAGAATTACGCCAAGTGCGAGACTTGACCAAACTGTCGGCTACCACTTTCCCTACTTTCAAGACGCCTATCTACTTCGCAAAAGCTGACTTGCCTTCTGTCGACTTGCCAAATCAGCCAGAACAAACTCAACATGCTCCAACTCAAGGTCGAGTTTCACCAGCTTCTCCAACCGCAGTTAGGACCGTTCCTGACCTTTCGAATCACGACCCTACCATACCAACAATGCAGCAGATACTTGGGGCACATGTCGCCACTCCCTATGAGCCACATGTTCCACCCGTATATACCGCTCGAGCTCCTACCTTCACAGTGTCAGCAGTTATTAATGTCCCGTATGAGGTCGATCAATATGCAGAAATGGAGAAAGATACCCAGATGAAAGAAGATACATTGATAAATGCCCAGCTTCAGGGTCTAAGAAAGGTATTGAAAAGCTTACCAGTTACTAGAGGAAAAAAGAGTCTGCATTATGATGACTTGTGCATCCATCCAGACATTGACATGCCGGTAGGGTACAAACCACCGAAGTTTGACATGTTCGATGGAAAAGGTGACCTCACGCACATTTAAGGGCATACTGTGACAAGTTAATCGGTGTAGGGAGAAGTGAGAAGCTGAGGATGAAGTTGTTCATCCGGAGTCTGTCTGGAGAAGCATTGACCTGGTATACCCGCCAAGACCCTTGCAAATGGCGTGATTGGCAGGAAATGGCTGAGGACTTCATGACTCGTTTCAGATTCAATACTGAAATTACTGCTGACAGACTCTCATTATCCAATATACAGAAGAAGCCATATGAGAATTTCCAAGAACATGCACGACGTTGGAAAACTGAGGCCGCAACGGTGCAACCGCCACTAGATGAGAGTGAGCTCTCGAAGTACTTTATTCGAGCTCAAGATGGTGTCTACTTCGACAAGATGATGTCCATGATGGGCCAGAAGTTTGCAGAATTGGTCAAGATAGGAGACTTTATAGAGGAGGGTGTTAAATCTGGGAAGATTCAGTCGATGGTCGCATTGGAATCTGCAAGTAGGGCTATACAATCGGGTTCCATTGGCGGCATCAAAAAGAAAAGGGAGGATGTTTCAGCTGTCACTTACATACAAGAAAAACCATCACACCGATACTTTAGTAATCCCCAAATCGCTGCGTACTTCATACTTCCCATACCCAGTATATAATACCCAACCACACTATAATCCACCCCGAGCACTAGCATACCAAAATCCTCCAAGACCATATGTCTTTGTCCAAGCACCAATCCACCAAAATAGACTAGCATATGCACCGAGACCACGTCCAAATCTTGAAAATAGAAATACTCGCACTTACACACTGATTTACGAACCCTACGCCCAATTATTTGAGAGGTTGAGGACAACGGGAGTGCTGCAACCAGTTGAAGGAAAACTTCCTGATCCAATCCCTCATAATTTTGAAGGAAACAAGCGATGTGCTTACCACTCGGGAATCCAAGGACACGACACAGAAGATTATTATGGGTTGAAGATCCAGATCGAGTCTTTGATCAGAAGAGGAGTAATCAAATGCACTCCAGCGCCTCCCAATGTGAACAACAACCCCTTGCCAAACCATGAGAATCGGGAAATCAACATGGTTACTCTAGATGAAGAATATGGGGGCCCTGACTGTCCAGACGTAGATGAACCAGATGCCATGACATCTTCGACGCAACCTGTTATCACTGTTCAACTAAGGGAACCTCTGACTGTCGAAACATATCTCCCAAGAGTTGTAGTGACCACTCTGATCGCTAAAACGCCTGAATATGACACCAAAGCAGTCCCATGGGACTATTGAACACGCAGAAGGGTAAGATGATTGACACTGTCGTGGCTCAAGGGATGACTAGGTCGGCGAGATGTTATGCCCCAGAGGATCTAAATCAAATAACTCTTGGAAAAGAACATAATCCAAAGAAAAATGTTACCGATGCTGAAGCCGCAGAATTTTGGAAGAAGATGCAGCCTAAAGACTATTCAGTCGAAGAGCAGCTGAAGAAGACGCCTGCCCACATATCTATTTTGTCTCTACTTATGAGTTCTTAAGCTCATAGTAATGCTTTGTTGGAAGTGTTAGACAGAGTGAATATTCTAAAAGAGACCACCAGTGAAAGCTTAGCTTCAACGATTGGAAGAATAGTGGAAGCTAACAAGATTTCTTTCCATGATGATGAGCTGCCTGCAGAAGGGGCTGGGCATAACAAAGTGCTTCACATCGCAATCAAGTGCTGTGATAAGGTTGTGAATCGAGTTCTAATTGATGGTGGTTTTAGATGCAACATCTGTCCTTTTACCACTTTGAGAGATGTAGGTGTTAATATGGGAGAGATAAAGGAAAGTCGTGTGAAAGTTAGAGCTTTTGATGGAGCGCAAACAAGTGTCATTGGAGAGATCTATCTCACATTACAGGTGGGGCCAGCTTAATTCCCCATCTTATTTCATGTGATGGATGTATCATCCAACTACAACCTGTTGCTGGAAGACCATGGGTTCACATGGCAAGAGCAGTTCCTTCCACTCTTCACCAATGTGTAAAGTTTGAGTGGGGTCGCACAAAAGTTACCATCCACAGAGAGCTCAGTCACCCCATTCTTTCTGTTAATTCTATCCCAGTCGCTGATGAGTTAGACGGAGCCACCTTTCACACTTTGGAAATTATGCAAGCTATAAAAGTCAGTGAGGAAGCAGAGGTAGGTAATACAAAGTTGTCAAGTGCAGCGAAAATGGTTGCGTCAGAGATGTTGAAGTATGTATATCAGCCTAAGAATGGACATGGACCTATGTCCAATGGCATAGTTGAGCCGATCCAGTTGAAGCATCAGAGAGGCACCAATGGACTCGGATATGAGCCTGCCTCGGGAAGAGACCGTCACGGGTCAAGCGATACAATCTTTGTACCAGAACAAGCTTTGATTCCAGATCAAGTTGGCGTTGATGACATCATAGAAGGAATAGACAATCTGTTCGTGGCCATGGCTAGAGAAGAGAAAGGGATAAATCTCAACAAGTTGACCATCCGTGATGTCGAACCTGGAGAAATCTTGTAGAGTTGGACCACCAGTCCGTCCCTATTTCAACCAGAGTCCTGGTAGTGTTGAAAAGTAGTCTTAATTTTAAAATTTGCATGATCAAATTGAGGCTTGAATCATGCCTAATCTTTTGTTCTTGCCTCTTCTAAAAGCTAGAATGCTTTGAAATAAAAAGTCTTTATTTTCTTTTTAAAAAAAATTCTCTTTATTTTAGATATCTATTTATTTTTACTTACCTTTTGCACTTTTCAGCACTCATATTAATAAAAATCCTCGTTCAACGGTTATGACATGTAACGAATCCATCGAGCAAGGTGAAAGCGATGAACGAGATCACGAAGAGTACGATGAAAGCATAATGCCGGAAAATCTACCACAGAGATCGAGCAAGTTGAAAGTCAGTAAAAACCCAATATGGATGAAACAGAGGTTGTCAACTTAGGAGATGAGTAAATCGTGAAGAAAACACGAGTCAACATACATTTGGAGGCTGAAAGAAAGCAAGAATTAATAGAGTTGCTTAAGCAATATGTTGACGTATTTGCTTGGTCTTATGATGACATGCCAGGATTAAGTACTGATATTGTCTCGCACAAATTACCGACTATCCCACTTGTCTTCCCGTTAAGCAAAAAATAAGAAAATTCAAGCCAGATTTGAGTTTAAGGATAAATGATGAGGTAACTAAGCAAATTGAGGCGAATGTTGTGAGGGTTACAAATTACCCCACATGGTTAGTTAATATTGTGGTAGTGCCAAAAAAGGATGGAAAGATAAGAATATGTGTAGACTATCGAGATCTCAACAGGGCCAGTCCTAAGGATGATTTCCCTCTTCTAAATATTCATATACTCATTGATAATTGTGCAAAACATGAGTTGCAATCATTTGTCGATTGCTTTGCAGGATATCACCAAATCCTTATGGATGAAGATGATGTAGAGAAGACAACGTTTATCACTCCATGAGGAGTATACTGCTATAAAGTAATGCCATTTGGTCTCAAAAATGCCGGTGCAACCTACATGAAGGCCATGACTACCCTTATTCAAGATATGATCCACAAGGAAATTGAAGTGTACGTGGATGACGTCGTTATCAAATTCAAAAGAAGTTCAGACCACCTGAATGACTTACGAAATTTCTTTGAGAGGTTGCGTAAGTATAATCTGAAGTTAAATCCAACAAAGTGTGCATTTGGAGTACCCGCGGGAAAACTATTGGGATTCATCATTAGCAGGAAAGGCATAGAGTTGGATCCATCAAAGATAAAGGCAATCCAAGGGCTACCTCCATCCAAGACCAGGAAGGACGTGATGAGTTTCTTGGGAAGACTGAATTATATCAATCGATTCATAGCTCAATCCATAGTGATCTGTGAACCCATATTCAAGTTACTGAAGAAGGATGCTGCCACGAAATGGACCGAGGAATGCCAAAGATCTTTCGATAGAATCAAAGAATACTTGTCCAACCCACCAGTATTGGTCCCACCAGAGCCTGGAAAGCCTTTGTTATTGTATCTATCTGTCATGGATAATGCATTTGGATGTGTATTGGGGCAACATGATGAGACAGGTAGAAGAGAGCAAGCTATATACTATTTGAGCAAGAAGTTCACACCATACGAGGCAAGATTCACCTTGTTGGAACAAACATATTGTGCTTTGACTTGGATTGCGCAAAAATTTAGGCATTACTTGTCCGCATGTACCACGTACTTGATCTCAAGAATGGATCCACTGAAGTACATCTTTCAGAAGCCAATGCCTATGGGTAAACTAGCAAAGTGGCAAATTTTGTTGAGCGAGTTTGATATTCTGTATGTGACACAGAAGGCTATCAAAGGACAAGCCTTGGCTGATCACCTCGCAGAAAACCCGGTGGACCAGGAGTACAAGCCACTCACGACCTACTTCCCTGATGAAGAGGTTTTGTTTGTAGGAGAAGACATATCAGAGTCATATGATGGTGGAGAATGTTCTTTGCTGGGGCATCAAACTCTATAGGAGTTGGAATAGGAGCAGTCTTAATTCGGAAACAGGTTAGTATTACCCAATCTCAGCCAAGATTAGGTTCTACTATACCAATAACATGGCGGAATATGAAGCTTGTATTCTCGGACTTAGGACGGCCATCAACATGAACATCAAAGAACTCTTGGTGATAGGAGATTCCGACTTATTGGTTCACCAGGTGCAATGAGAATGAACCACTAAGAATGAAAACCTAGTACTATGACATCAAAAGATTGATAGAAGCACAAGAATATCCTGAAAATGCTACAAGCAATCAGAAACGGACTTTGAGGAGGATGCCAATCATTTCTTCCTTAATAGAGAAATCCTATATAGGAGAACTTCAGATTTGGGATTGTTG